AACTTGCCTCTTTCAGTTTGATGAATTAATGAACTTAGTTTTTGTATCGTTCTTTTGGTAGGAGCAACACTTATCTTATATTGCTTTGTTTTCCCTTGAACAAAAGTGGTGTTGTTTTTGACTTTTCATCATTTCTTTTGCATATCATATTCTGACATGGAACAATAAAATGCCATTTTAAAATCATAGGAGTGATTGTCTATTCTTCTTGTATTATGCTTTTGCTTTAAGTACTGGAAGAAACTTATAAGTACCAGAGGTGTAATCTTAACGTGGTGAGTTTGTGGCTCTATCGCTCTACTGACGAGAGTCGATAAGTTAAAAGTATTGTAATTGGAGTAACTTTAAGGACCTATCGCTCTATTGACGAGAGTTGATAAGTTAAAAGTGTTGCGATTGGAGCAACTTTGAGGACCTATCGTTCTAAAAAATATTGCGATTGGAGCAACTTTGAGGACCTATCGCTTTATTGACGAGAGTCGATAAGTTAAAAGTATTGTAATTGGAGCAACTTTGAGGACCTATCGCTCTATTGATGAGAGTCGATAAGTTAAAAGTGTTACGATCGGAGTAACTTTATGGACCTATCGCTCTATTGATGAGAGTCGATAAGTTAAAAGTGTTGCTATTGAAACAACTTTGAGGACCTATCGCTCTATTGACGAGAGTCGATAAGTTGAAAGTGTTACGACCGGAGCAACTTTGAGGATCTATCACTCTATCGACGAGAGTCGATAAGTTAAAAGTATTATGATCGGAGCAACTTTGAGGACCTATCGCTCTATTGATGAGAGTCGATAAGTTGAAAGTGTTACGATCGGAGCAACTTTGAGGACCTATCGCTCTATTAACGAGAGTCGATAAGTTAAAAATATTGCCATTGGAGCAACTTTGAGGACCTATCGCTCTATTGACGAGAGTCGATAAGTTGAAAGTGTTACGATCGGAGTAACTTTGAGGACCTATCGCTCTATTGACGAGAGTCGATAAGTTAAAAGTGTTGCCATTAGAGCAACTTTAAGGACCTATCGCTCTATTGACGAGAGTTGATAAGTTGAAAGTGTTACCATTGGAGCAATTTTAATGACCGATCGCTCTATTGACGAGAGTCGATAAGTTGAAGTATTGCGATTGGAGCAACTTTGAGGACCTATCGTTCTATTGACGAGAGTCGATAAGTTAAATCCAACAAAGGAATTATTATTACGTGAAGGAGTGATATAGGCAGAATTCAAACTCTATGGCAATGAAAGTCATTGTAAGTATGATGCTATCTCGACAAAAATTAAAGAGGTTTTGTCGACTGATTTGGTTTTACATTCAGCTGATAACGTGCAGAGGTTCTAATGACACTTCTGCAAAAGGACGTACTACATGGCCTTAGAGATTCAACACCATGTTTTGAAAATGCAAGAGTAAAAGTACCCCCTGCGTTTTGGTCTTTGATCCCAGGGCTAAGCCTTTATTGAAACCGGGCTGCGTATGTCTGGAACAACACTAGGAATTTGAACGCATCTCCAGATCATTGCGTTTGGCCTTGTCCTCATATCCTTTAAACACAAGGTCTTGTCCCGTGTCTTATTAGAAGTCTAAATGACTATAATGATGACGAAGAGACCACACTTGGCCGGGAGTCTCGGAACTCCATATCACCCACAGTGATTACTTATAAATAGACCTGATCGGTCTTGTCAAGAGCCTCAAAACGCTTAAACTTCTATCTTAAACTCATAAACGAGTTTCTTCTCGTTAATTCCAGAACTCCTCAACTGTTTTGAATCGCCTCAGGTCATGGCTTTCAAGGAATCTTGCTCAAGAGGAGACGAAGGGGTGGCGCACAACATGCCATCGTCGGGGAATGCTTTTGGGTCCACCTCTGGACCGCCGTCGATGCCTCCCTCACCAATGTCCCGTCATCGAGGTAAGCCATGTTGTCTTTTCTATTTGTCATCCTTTTTTGATAAGTTTTCTTTAAATCCCTTGAGTGAGTTATGATTGATAATGACGAAGATCGTTCGTCTTCCTAATCTTGAGCGCAGAAATAAACCCCTGCGCTCATTGATGAAACGAAGGGTCAATCCCCTCGTTTCGACATGTTGGTTTAATCCTGCTATGTTTAAGAAGGATGACGCATGACTAAATCTCTTCGTTTTGGAAGGTCATAACGCAAGTTTTTAATTTATTGCGTTCAGAATGATTCAACGCGGGTCTATTCTCTTGTGTCTAAGTCAACTTCGACGCAGGTCTAGACTCCTACGTTTGAATTCATCTATTTTTATTAACTTCGCTTTTATTTGTTTTGTTGCAGAGTAGAGCTTCTGCTTCTAAGCCTATCATATCTCATGATTCGGGATATGCCCCTTCCATTCAACCAATCTCCATGATTCTCCCAAACGAGGATTTTGAGTGGGTGACTTATGAGGCTTCTTATCTGGAACCCGGTTGTACTCTCTTCCTCCTTAGGCGCTTAGAGAATCAGGTGAAACAAGCTTTCTCCATCGTGATGCATGGTTGGGGCTCCTTCCCTGAGTTTCAAGCTTCTATCGAGGAAGGGTTGAATGATCTTACTAAAGTCAACCTCCACCATGCTCGACGTTATGTAGAGAAAATCCACCGCTTCTCAGGTGCCGCTCGTTTCTTGGAGGAGCTGAAGCATATAGATTTGTAGCCTAAGATACAATGGTCCATAAGTAATGCTAGGTTGAAAAAGAAAGTTGCTGATAGAGCCCGAGCCTTCAGCATCTCGGAGAGGAAAGCTATTATCTGGAACTTGTAGAAGCAGCGTCGCCATACCAGGGCCAAACTTGCTGCAGGGGAAATAACCCCAGAAGAGTTCAACCTTGGGGATGCCACCTGCGACGCAAGGGTTCGAGCAAAAAAGGAGGCCATCCAAGCATTGCAACAAGAAGCTTCTGCTGCAGCTGCATCCCCTGATGTTCAACTCCATAAGAAGGCTGAAGAATAGGTGCTGGCGAAGCATGAAAAGGACGTATCTAAAACCGAAGCTTATCTTTTAAGCTTCTCTTTATTTTAAGCCCAAATAACCCTTACTTCTGTTTTGGTCTTGTAATGACTTTGCATTATTTCTCCAAGCACTTACTATCTGCATGAAATGAACTGTTGCTATATATATTGTCCTTTCGTTGCATTTTCTGTATTATGGTCTTCTGATCTTGACTTTGGATTAGAGACTTTCTCTGTTATTGTTAGAGTAGTCTCTGAAAATTCTCCTGTTAGGGCTAAATTTCTACGTTTGAATGAATTCAACGTAGGTCTATCTCCTTCTAAAGGTCAAAAACGCAGGGTTTAGCCTTGCGTCTAAAAGACTTAAACGCAACTATGAGACTTGAAATGCAGCTATAAGACTTGCATTCAGGAAGACTAGATGCATTCCAAATTGTTGGGACCTTTCCCCTGAATTAGATCACGCTGACAGTCATCTGGTATATTTTAGAAATTTTCTTTATTATAATAATTCTCGACATCTTCAATCGTCAGAGGTGTAATGTTAACTTGACGAGATACAAAGTAGGAGAAACAATTTACTACTCTTTGTTCAAACGAACTTCTAGGAGGTAACCCCCAGTCAGACTTACCTAGGGGGGGTTTGGAGCAAAGGGACGTCATAATCTACGGGTAATATTTCTTGAGAAACTTCCCATTAATCGGCATCATGAGTCTATCACCTTTTTTTATCGATGAGATAGTAGGCTCCATTAGAATAGACTGTCTCTATCACAAAGGGTCCTTCCCATTTAGGATTGAATTTTCCTTTGGTTTTATGTGTCATCACCATAGGTCGTCTGACGGCTAAGACCAAATCACCTTTCTTAAAAATCTGTTCTTTAACCTTTTTGTTGTAGGCTTTAGTAATCCGGGCTTAGTATAACTCAATATGTTGCTGAGCTTGAAGTCACTTATCATCTAAGGCTTCAAGTTCCTGGAGGCGCAGTTGATATTTCTCCTCTTCGGTCATTTCGGTCGCGATAGTGACTCTCAGGGAAGGGATCTGAATTTCTAGTGGTAGCACAGCTTCATAGCTGTATACTAAAAAGAACGAGGTGGCTCTTGTAGGGGTCCTTACCATTGTGTGGTAGGCCCACAGACATTCACCGATTTTTTCATCCCAATCATGTCGACTCTTGGAAATGAACTTTTTGAGAAGCTTCACAATGGTCTTGTTAAAAACTTTTGTGAGGCCATTTGCTAACGGGTAATAAGCCGTAGATGCAACACTTTAGATTCTAAATTTATCACAAAATATCTAAAATCCAAAGCTGACAAATTGTGTTCCATTGTCGTGGACTATTCGTCTCAGAACTCCAAAACGGTAGATGACATGATGTTTGATGAATTTAATCACATTTGAAGTCTTGAATTCTTTCAGCGAGATTGCCTCTGCCCATTTAGAGAAGTAATCGGCCACAACCAAAATAAATTGATGTCCCTTGGAAGTCGGAGGAGAGATTGGTCCTATGATATCCATGCCCTACATCTCAAACGGCCAAGAAGTAGACGTGGGATGTAAGTTCCCTAGCGTTTGATGAATGAATAACCATGGATTTGACACGCGTGATAACGCCTAACATAGTCAACTGCGTCTAAAAATATTTTTGGCCAGTAATAGCCAATTCGTCGGAGGCGATCTCCTAACTTAGCCCCGGGTTAATGAGCTCCGCACATCCCGTCGTGAGCTTTCTTAAGAGCCTCTTTTGCTTCCTTCCGAGAAAGGCATCAAAGTAAAACTTCATCGTGCGATTTATGATACAAAATTTGGGAAACCGTATCGTAATAGGATCGGAGGGCCTTTCATTTGATAGTGGCTGCTTCCTTAGAATTATCAGGCAAAATCCCGTATAAGACGTAATCGATATACGGGAAGCGTCAATTCTTGGGTTTAATCTCCATTGAAGTTGTGCAGACTTCTCCTGTCATTGTCTTCTCTGAACTTTCTTCTATGGGAAGCTTGGAACAATATAATTCACGTCCAGTGATAGGAATCATGGTTTCGACCCTGGGGGCAACGCTAGTGAGGTTGCCAGCGAGGCTAAGGCGTCTGCATAAGCATTCTGAGCTCGTAAAATATATCCAATGAAGAATCCTTTGAACTTCTTGGCTTGCTTTAGCACTGCGAAGTAGTACGGGATCAAATCCTCATGGCACAGTTTGTATTCCCCTCGGACTTGATTTACGATGAGCTGAGAGTCACCGTAAGCCTCGAGATGCCGAATATTAAGTTCCTCGACAAACTGCATTCCTAACAGCAGCGTGTTATACTCAGCTACATTGTTGGTGCAGGGCTCAATCAAGGAAAATCCTCTTGGGATCACATGACCGTTCGGTGAAACAAGTACGACCCTCACTCCTGTAGTAATTGCTCCATGAGGATTTGCTCTGGATGCACCATCAAAGAATAACTTCCATACTTGCATAATCTCTTGAGTTACGCAAGCTTCGGCAACTTCGTCGGGCAATTCTTCATAAAGCTTAGACGTTCCTAGCACTGGATGATCGGCTAAGAAGTTCGCTAATGCTTGACCTTTAACAGCTTTTTGGGGCATGAATTGCATGTCATATTGGGATAGGAGGATTTCCATTTTGCCAACCGATAATTCAGAGATAATGGGTTCGTCATCAGGACTCTCAAAGGATTTACTTTAGAAATGACATAAATTGTTTGTCCTACCAGGTAATGTCGCATCTTTTGGACTGCAAATACTAAAGCAAGACATTCTTTTTTGACCGGATTATACTGATGTTCAGCTCCTATCATGGTCCTACTTAAGTAGTAGATGACTTGTTTTTGTCCTTGGTCATTATTTTGGGCCAATAATGCCCCAAGAGAATGATCTATAGCCCTCACGTATAGCAGGAACGGTTTTCCTGATATCGGAGCCACAAGGATGGGTGGTTGAGTGAAGTATTTCTTGATCTCTTCAAATGCTTTCTGACAATCTCCATCCCACACGAAAGATACTCCCTTCTTCATGAGTTTGGAGAAGGATTGGCAGCATCCCGAGAGATTAGATATGAATCTCTGTATGTAAGCCAATCTGCCTTGCAAGCCTCTGAGTTTTTTGATATTCTTCAGAGGCGACATGTCTTGGATAGCACAAATTTTCTCTGCATCAAGAGAAATTTCCTTGGATGTAACGATAAATTCCAGGAATTTTCTGCTCGATGCCCCAAGGAACGATTTTGTCGGATTCATCTTCAACTGATGTGTTCGCATGATGTCGAACATTGTCTTCAGGTCTATAAGATGATCACCTTTATGTTGGCTTTTCACTGCTATGTTGTCAACGTAATATTCAATCTTCTTACGTAGATGTTCAGGAAAGATGGTGTTCATTGCACGTTGATAAGTTGCACCTGCGTTTTTCAAGCCAAAGGGCATTACTGTGTAGCAATACACCCCCGGTGGTGTTCTAAAAGCAGTATGTTTTTCGTCTTCAGGATACATCTTGATCTGATTGTACCCGGAGAATCCATCCATGAAGGACATCCTCTCATATCCGCAATTGTTATCGATCATGACATCCGTGATGGGGAGTGGAAATTCATCTTTTGGGCAAGCTGCATTAAGGTCACGAAAGTCGATGCATATCCGGACCTTACCGTTCTTCTTGGGAATTAATACAATGTTGGCTACCCAGTCCGGGTGTTGTTCCTCTCTAACAAAGCCCGAATCAATAAGTTTCTTAAGTTCTGACTCGATTGCTTCCATGATCTCAGGACGAAACCAGCATTGCTATTGTTTAACAGGTTTTACATCCGGATCAATGTTGAGACGATGCATGGCTATTTTTGGGTTAAGGCCAGGCATGTCTTCATAATTCCAAGCAAAAGCGTCTATATATTCTCGAACGAGAGATATAAGTTTTTCTTTCTCAGAGGGTGATAAGCTTTCACATAAGAAGATAGGTTTAGGGTCGGACTCATCTCCTATGTTGACCTGGATCACTTTTCAGTAGGCGGTTCACGTTATTCGAAATGCATATCCCACAAGATGTTAAGACGTTTGATCCATGGGTCATTGGTCGATTCAATTAACTCTTCATCACCCTCTGCATCTTCATCTGGGTGACTAGTTGAAACCATGTTCACAGTCAAACTTTTAAAGAAAGGTCCAACGCTGATGTCAGATTCCCATGATGATGTCCCAGATGAATGATCTTGATACAAATAGTCACCGGTTTCATTTTCTAAAAGGGAGGGAGATGTAACGTAACCTACACCTCTTCCAATTTTCTAATAGTAATCCGGAGGTTTTCCTTCGGGAGTGAGAGACATTTGGATGGGCGTTCGCCTTCCTTTACCAAAATTTAAACTATGTTTCTCATTAAAGTTATATCCCATTCATTTTATCAAATATATGGAATTAGGTTCGTAGTAATGGAATTGAGGAACCCCATTTTCTTCTTCTGAACATCCTCATTTGAGTGATTTATGTTTATCTTTACCGAAGTAGATCAGCTTCTGCCCTTTTCTTTTGGACGGGATTTTGAAGAAAGCCTTCTGGGCATCTTCCACTTTTTCATCTGAAGCGAAGGATGACTTAATCAACAATGTTAGTGATACCTCGGCGCATAATGTGTGCCATGAGCCGGTACCTATATTAGTATCATTCTGTATTTGTTTATTTTTAGATGACTCATCAGACAAGTATGCTAAAATAAAATCTTCATTAATGCACCACTTGCCCTCACTCGGTACATTATTATTGTTCTCGACCTGGCCCATTACATTAAAGTTTAGCTCCCATGGACAATCTTCCTCAGGATCTGGCTCGATGTCAGCTTCGTTACGACTGTCAATATCTTCTTTCTCCTGTGATTCCTAGTAGAAGACAGAATCTGTGTGGAAGTTTTTCACCCCTCTGAAAGGATACTTTTCCGCAATCAGGGTTCGAACTTCCCCATCATCATTAGCATACTTCATAACCTGATGTAGGGTAGATGGGACAACACGATTTGCATGAATCCATGGTCGTCCCTATAATAAATTATAGGACGTGTCCGCATCTATAATGTAACAAGTCACCTCAGACTTGAGATCTATGATTTGACACCTAAGCTTGATCTCCCTAGGGGTTGAGTAATGTTGGCGTTAAAACCGAAGATAGTGGTCTGGGTGGTGTTCAATCGATACATGAGAATTCCTAAGACCTGCATGACCATGTAAGGCATGATGCTGAGTGCTGAGCCTGGGTCAACTTGAACACGGCTGATTTCTGAGGACCCAATGTACCTGGTATAGTACAAAGGCCTGTCATGCTTGTGCTTGACTTGTATCATCCTGAGTGAATGATATGCATGGTAGACTTCTTGCTGCTTATAGACACTGAATACAAGACTAGCCTTCAGAAGCTTCAGGAATATTGGCTAACTGCGCCAGGACATTGAATCGGAGTGACTTGTGTGATAAAGCTTTCTGTGTTTGTTAAAGCTTCAATCAGAGCTTCCTTGGTGGTTTTAGACAATCTCATGAGCTCATACAAGGTAATCCTAGCTGGTATATTGGCTAACTGCGTCAGGACATTAAATCGGCAAGGAGTGCTCGATTCTCTGACTTCTTGAAGAAGGTTCTTATTGTACCAGGTTTTCTTCTATTTCCCTTTGTCGATTGTCTTTTGAGGAACAGAACCCCCAGCGTCTTGATGTTGTTCTTCTGCTTCTTGAGCATTCTGATCATAGTCTTTCAGGTAAGCTTTTCCTGATCGGGTGCTAGGGTTGCCTCCTGGGTATGCTGCAAGAACAATCCTCTCTTCTTATGAGTCGGTGAGAGGTTTAAGATGATCATCATTCTCATTAAGGGAGAGGCTAATCATATTAGATGGTTTACCCGTGCCTCTCTTCTTTTTGGATGAAGTGCTCGACCACTATTTGTCTTCAACCAGGTTGGGATGGACCCACATAATCTCCCATTTTAGGGTAGTGAGGGGTACCAACCCCCTATCCTTCTGGCTTTGTAAGTTAGTATTTTTCATGTGTATTTTCTCTTTATGGATGGGGAAAACACCATCTGTGGCTGCTACCGGAGGAAAATCACCGAACTAGACTGCTATCAAATTGGTGGATACAGTCTTCTGCTCGGGCTTCAGTGTGAGCATATTAGCATTTACCAGGTTTTGTAAAATATCTTTAAAGACATAGCATTTTATGGTGGGATATCCCAAAAACCTATGATAACGACAGTAATTGGGGTCATCCACCTTCCCCGCTTCATCTGGTTTTCTGATCTCTTGGAGCTGCAATTTGTTGTTCTTCCGAAGTAACCGGAACAAGGTGTCCACATGCTCTTCTTTGAACGAGTATTGCTTGGGTGCTCTTGGTTGGTTCGGTGCTTTGCCTTGCTTTTTAGGTGGTGTACGCGTGTTGGTGTCAGCGGTCAAAGTCTCCTTTCCCTTAGAGTGCGGAGCATTGTTCTGATTGCGTAGCTATTATGGCTTGGGTTGAGTAGTTTCTTTAGCCTTGACCTGGGCAACGATTTCTTCTGCTTGTTCTCCTTGCGAAACCAGTTGTCTCCAGGAGCGACATTTCGCTACCCCCATTTGAGCGAGGAGCTGGGTCTGCAAGTTATGCCCGCAAGTCTCAACCAAAGTCTATTGGGTCATACCTGATGGGCATCGTAATGCCATGCTGCGGAATGTCTCCACATAAGTTTTGATGGACCCTCCTTTCCTCTACTTGGTGGTGAGGAGAGTCGGGACCGAGACTTATGTATCATCTTCAAAGAATCTAGCCAAGAAAAACCTTTCTAGATCTACCCATTTTTGAATAGTTCATGCAGGCAGCTTCATGAACCACTCGAAAGCAACACCCTTAAGGGTGCCAAGAGACAAACGGGTTAGAATAGCGTCGTTTGCTATAACATCTCCTATCTGAGACTTGAAATAGTAGATGTGTTGGTTCGGTGATCCTGTGTCATCGAAGGGCTGCAAGGTTGGGGTCTTAAATTTTGGTGGATAGGGAGCTGTGTCCTATTCAGGATAAGGCCGTACCACTCCTTCCTCGTGAAGTTTGCTCCTGTTAGCGATTGCGTTGAGGCGAGCCTCTAGTTCATCGACCTTAGATGACTGAGGATTCAATCCTCTTTCCATCTCCCTCTCGTTTTCAGAAGAGGATTCCAGGTTGTGAGTTTCGTGGTCTGAATTCTCAGGCGCTTTTTACTTTCCCTTTGAAATTGTTCTCCGGGAAGACTCAGGCCTTTGGCCTTTTTCTGCAGGGAGCTAGGCCAACATGTCCTTCATCTGAAGAAGTGTCTCTTGCTACGCTTGGAACATGACCTGATGTTCATCAACTCTTTTTGCTAAGTCGTCAGGGCCTCCAGTCATGTACACGGGAGCCTCTCGTACTATGACAGAGCTTGAGGATTGAGATTTAGCAATTGCTGGATATTCATCATCAGATGTAATCCCCTTGGCTAACTTGTGATAGTTAACTGAGCAGATAGCTCCTGTTTGGGTTTGGGTGTGGCGATATATCCCTTCAAACTCGTCATAAATTTCCCTGACGGTCGGGGAATGACTTCTTTCTGATTCATCCGAACTGTGAGCTGAGGCCTTTCCTCTGCCTATCACGTTAATAGTGACTTTGGGATATTCGACTTCGGAAATCTTCTTCTTATGATGACATCATCGTTTGGTAGGCCTGGTGACTTTTGTCAATCGGTCGAACACCGATTACCGAGGCTCAGGTGCACAGCAGGGGCATTCTGAAAGAACGGCAGAAATAAGCCGCTCACATTGGTGTGAATGAGCTTCTTATTGTATCAGTCTCCCTTTCGACAGCAATTCTCATAGATCAGAGACTTGAGAGGAATCTCTTTCTGATCGAGAGGACGGAAATGGAACCCCTTGCCCTTGAGTGGGTGAGACTAGTTCTTGTCGGACATGAATTTTTTTTAAACCCCTGTCGACCCCCTTGAACTTAGCGGACCACATCGCGTTCTGGAGAAGAAACACGATGGTCGAATTGTGATTTACAAACCCTAGGCCGAAACCTACGTTTGGTTGATGGAACAGACCCTTAAGGGTCCTGTTTTAGGTGAACCATGTGTCGATGAGGCTCGTGTTTATGTTGTATCACGTGAGGCTCA